CCGGGTGGGCAGCTGTGAGGAACCGTGGCGCGGACCCTCCACCTGCCCTGAGCAGAGGACCTGGGGGGCAGGGACACTGCGCGGGGCTGCTCGGGCCCCCCGCCCAGGGCAGGTGGAGGATCCGCCGCGGCTGCCAGCCTGGCTCTTACCGCGGCTCTGAGGCATGCCCCCCTGCTGGAGCCCAGTCGGGGAGAGCCACACAGACAGCTATGGGGAGCCTGGGTCCCTCCACCTGTCCTGGGAGGAGGCCTGGGGGGCAGGGACACTGGGCAAGGGGTCTGGGGGGCAGCGACAGGGGCCAGGGGCTGCTCGGGGCAGGTGGAGGGAGCCAGGCTCCCCACAGCTGCCAGCGCAGCTCTCTGGCTCCGGCCAGGGAGGAGGGCAGCTCGGAGCAGCAGCCCAGCCACAGCTGTGGGGAGCCGTGGCGGACCCTCCACCTGCCCTGGGCGGGGGGTGGAGGGGGGGAGGGCTAAGAGCAGCTCCCAGCCATGTCCCCGCCCCTCAGGCTCCCCGCCCGGCTGAGGGCAGGTGGAGGGTCCATAACTCAGGGCAGGCTCCCCACAGCTCCGAGTGGGCTCCGGCAGGCGGCAGGGGGTCGGTACCTCGGAGCCTCAGCCCAGCCCCTGGTGTAGAGACCTGCAAATCTGTGGATATCTGTGGATATCTGCAGATAAATGTTGCGGATCACAGATCAGATGCGGATACACATTTTTGCATCCGCGCAGGGCTCTAAAGATTGGTGGATCCCTGGTTGGACATTTGCAGAGCATCGCTGCAAGGAAACTCATTCTACCGAAGTCCTGACTGCACTCCACTGTGAGGAAGCTCACAACACTGAAATCTTGACTTGCCTTAACTCTGAGAAAATACCTCAAAGCCCCTAGAGTCTTGATTTACATTGACATGCAGATGCAGCCAGCAGAGAAGACTAAGCACAAGTGGCTGGTATCTTGTAACATTTTGGCCCTGAATTATAAAGGTTGGAAGTTTCTATTTTCTGTTGCCTTCTCCTCACTGATCTAATTGTGCATCTGTGACAATGTTTATACACTTCCTGAATTCAGGACAATTCCGTTGCCACAGCAACGAACATGGCTCCCAGCATCCTGTATCCAGAGCCAAAGGTGTAATTTAGAGATCAACAACAGCCAAAGTGCTGGCAGATTCCCTGTGAGAAACTCCCTCTCTCTGAGAGCTGCTTGTCCTGCTCTCATGCTCCCCTCTCCCTCAGAATATCCCAACCACTTCCCTGCTCCCTGTCAGGAAGAAAGCTGCTGCTGTTAGGTCATAAGGCTTTGTATGACATCACAGTTGTTCCCTGATCACATAATCACAGTGGATGCTCTGACCATTGGTAGAATTAAGTTGATACATTTTCAGGAGGAGGGAGCCCACAGGAGGCATCCTGGTTTTCAGTGCCTCTCCTTCAAGGACTGTCTCTGTACTCCATTGATCTCCCTAGGTTACCAGACCATCTGGAGTTCTCCAAGATGGCTTCCTTGACCCTGTCTCTAACTGTTCCTGAGATGCCCCATGAGTTAAACATGGGGGTCTCTTCAGGGCAATAATAATCATCTCCCAAATCATTCACCCTCTTCCTTTCATTTGGGAAGGGCAAAGTGAGGTTTATGGAAGGTGGGTGTTTATCTCCTGATGATTACAGGCAGAAATCTGTAATTTATCTCCCCTCTTGCCAGGGCAACTGCTTCAGCCTCTCACCTTCCCCTCATCTGCTTTCCCCTTCCACTCTAGGGACTGATCTGGCTGAGAACTGGTAACTCCTTACATATGTGTGGCACATTCCTAATAAGGTGGGAGCAGGGGAAAAGGGCCATAAACTTGGAGTGGAGAAGCAGAGCAGGTGTGGCCTGGCAGCCATTGGCACTGCAGGGAGTGATGAGGTGTAGTTTGGAATAGATTTAAAGAGACACGAATGCCACTGGGGGGAGAAGGGGGTGGGCAAGGAATCCCATAATCCCAGGGGTGATGACAGCCTTTAAGAAGGGGTCACTCACCTGTTAACTCGGACGCTACCCATGGCTCGCTTTATCATCAGGGTAACTCAGATCGTGAGGTGCCGTGGGAGTTGTACGTGTCTCGGGTCTCAAACAACAGAGTTCACACAGGACCAGGTGAGGCTGGGATTCACCCCTGATGAGCTGTGGCGCCAGCCATACCTGTGATCGGTGCTGAGCACACACCTTAGAGACAAACAACAAAGGAAAATCCCATCAACATAACAACCAAAAAGAGCGGTCCCTGGCCAAGCGAGCAGAGCATGGAGGTCCCAGATCTCTGTGACCACTCAGGAGAGGCCTCATAATGTCACTCTATCTCGCCAAGGCTTCGTCTCAATCCACTAGTTGTAAAAACAGGTATAAAGAACTGATTTATACAGACAGTACAGCAGTTCCCAGCAATCACCATACTGCAGCCCCCTTTTCCATACCACAGCCCCCAAGGCCCCTGTGTACCTAACCCAGTCTCCCCTCCCAGTTAGCAATATGGGAAGGGCAGGTCAGTCATAAATCCCAGGTCAAGAACCCGCAATTTAGCACATTTGTAAGGCACCTCGCATTATGCACTACAGTAACATAAAAGCTTACATGAGGATTAGAGATCAGCCTGTCAGAAAACACCAAAAAACAAGGGCTAAAGGAGCTCAGAAGCCTTCAGGCAAACCCACCCCCACCACCCCAGTCCAGAGGGAATGCTTCCCAATGAACACACCCCAAAAACAGGAAAGGAAAGTGGTTAACGGATACAAAAAAGCAAAGTGATACATAGGAGGTATCCAGAGATAGGGACAAGGCTGCAGTAATAAACAGGCCTCACAATATGTCCCCAAAGCAGCCAAGGAGGGACTCTGCTAGACAACCTGCTGCAGAGGGTTCAGTGGACTGAGAAAGCCATGCCGCTGGCCTGGTCTTGATTAAACCAAAAGAACCATGAACCCAAAGGACCAAGAATCAACTTGTTCTGGCTGACTGGAGTTGCTGAAAAGGGACATACTGCAAGGGGTGATGACTTATAGATGAAGAAGGGCTTTGTGGACCAGTGCTAACCCTCCACCATACTCTTTGGGTTCCTGGCAGCCATTGCAGAATGCAGGCATAACCAGCCCACTCCCTCACTCCCATCATCAAGAGCAAGTAAGCAACCATTTTTCCAGGGCAAATTCAAGGAAAGTGCGATTAGGAACACATTACAGTGGACTAGCCTGGATGTGAGAAAGGCATGGTGGATGACTTGGTCAAGGTCCACATCTGAACAAAACATCTGGGTTTCTCAGATAAGCCAGGGACAGTAATAGCCACTTCTGATCACTGTTGCAAAATGAGCTTCCACGCTGCTAAGGGTGACCCCCAGGTTCTGCTTCTGGCTAACTAGTGGCGGACACACTCCCTGAATAGTGGACACAGACAAACCACAAGCCAGCTCCTCAAAACACTTCCTCCTACCTCTGACTTGGCTGGGTTGAGTTTCAACCAGCTGTCTTGCAGCCAGATAAAAATGTTGCTCAGGCAGTTTGGTATCTGAGACTATCCATACATGGCCACTTGAAGAGGAGCATGGACAGAATGGATCCATGAATGAATAGCAGTGAAGACATAATGGAACCTTGGGTACTCTACTGGCTGGGCTCCAAGGTGAAGACAAATAATTGCCCATAATTACCCTCAGCCTACCCGGTCAAAAATAAACACAGCCACTTGAGAGCCACCCCGCCCAGTTCCATCAGGGACTGGAGCCCTGGCCACCCTTCCCTGGTGGCCAAGAGCATTAAAGGCTGTTGAGAAAGTTCTAATAAAATAGATGAGGCCCTCTGTGTAAAATGCAATTATGCAGATGCATAAATTGCAGTAAAATTGTGGTTGATAATCTAAGCCCAACAGAAAGGCTAAGGAGTGATGGAGACTATCTCCCTCTCATCCCTGGAGATGGTCCCACCAGAGCAAGGACAAGACTGCCTATGCTGTATGTTCTTTAGCAAACTGCAAAAGGTAGGAGATTCAGAGCTAGGGTTGCCACATTAACACATCCAGGTCTAGCAGTGGGAGGAGGAGCATCCCCTTCTTGATACAGTACAGCTACTGTGATGGCTAAATCTCAGCACTTTCCCTTTCTGCCATGAGACAAGGACATGGAAATCAAAGCATTTTCACACACAATTAGGCAGCACTGGAGCTAGTAGTGTAAAGAAAGGGACATTGTCTCAGCTCACACTTGGATATTTAACAACTTCATAAAGGTTATTGAGCAAATCTCTCTTGTCCTTCTCCAGGCATGGATGTAAAGGTTCCAGGGAGAGGAACCCTTTGCTTCTAAAGGGACAGACTGTGATTGACCCTGAGTTCAAGGGAAGTGCTAAGAGGGTATAAGAGTTTCCCTTTGTTGTAACCCTATGCAAAGATGCCCAGAACTCTGGTTCCTTGCATTCCCCAAGCCACCAACAGGGGCAGGGGAAGAGGGACAGGTGAGATGTGCACAGAGCTGCCAAGCCACCTTCTGCACCAGCCAGCACAAATAAGCCAGATGGGAGAGTAGATTGCTATCTGATAAAGGGTAACACAGCCCCCTCTGGTATGCTATGCCCCAGCTCCCATGAAAGAACTCTGGTTGAGTCAGCCAATGCATCTGCAGGGCTTCCTGCTGGTACAGAGCCCCTGTGCTACCCCCTTCCCAATGTGGGCTCTTGCTTGTAGCCCAAAGCCTGTAAAATACCTCGACACAGGACCTCTGACGAGGACAGGACAAACAGCTGGTTCTCCCAGCCTGTAGCACTGCACTATTGAAACAGAGCACCTGAGGCTAACACTCCATTAGTACGTGAAATTCATATTTAATTACAATAAAAGTACTTCTGGGAAGGATAAAGGCCACCTATTTGAAGACACGCAACGTTTCATGAAAGCAAACATTGCATTACTGATTGCAGTCTGGGAACAGTGTGATCTCAGTCTATACACTCACAGGTGGGAGCCCCCCTAAGCGCTTTTTCATCCATCATCTTCCTTTTTGACTTCGGAAATCTTGTCTATGGATTTCAGGAGGTCAGCCACAAAATGCAGCATTTCCGTTCCCGAGACCAGCTGTTTGATTGACAAGTGTGCGTTGGCTATAACCCGGTGGAGATTCTGCAAGGCAACGTCTACATTTTGTTGCACTGCCCCCAGGCTGGCAGACTGGCCTGCACGCAGCATGTCATTCTCTGTCTTGAAACTCTCCAGCTCCACCTGGAGAAGAGACACCTCCTGCTTCAGCTTTGCAGCCTTACTTTCTGCCTTCAGGGCCCGCTGGGTCATCCCCAGCAGATTCCGTTCTGCCTGCTGGACAACGGATTCTAAACCCTGAGCCTCTTTCTCCTCTTTGACCACACTGGCTCTCAGTCTTCTCTCCAGGTTTCTCACCATGCGTGTCTGACTTTCTGAGAAGCTATGGATACTTTTGATCTTCCTCCTGAGCATGGAATTCTCCTCTTTGAGTTCTTCGTAGCTCAACTGCAGAGATGGATACTCCCTGTCTCCTATGGATTCTTCATGAAGAGCACAACTTTCAGGTGCCTTGTCATGAGCTCTGCAGGAAACATACAAGTCGCTGGGATGGAGGCAGGGAGCAAATGCCTCAATTCCCAACTGTCTGGCTGTGTTGTGATATAAAGAATCATGCGGGCTACAAGGTGACATGCTGGCAAATCTGGACTTACGGGCTTTTTCAAGGGCAGGGTGGTGATAGCTCCCACCCCAATCATCATCCTCATCATCTGATAAGGTATCAGCCATCTCTAGGTCTTTGTAAAATGGCTCCTGAAATTCCATGCTCAAGCCCAATGCTTCTGGAGATAAGGAATCATCTTCAAAGCCTAGGTTGTGTCTGGCCAATTTCTTTGCAAACATTCTATTTTTTGACTCTTCCTCTTTTGCTGTGCCACGAGTTTTCGTTTTTACAAACCCCTTTAAGGAAAATGGAATGGCTCCCTCTGGATCTTCCAGATGATTGTCCCCTGGACTGATGAGGCTCTTAGCATGGGCCGGAGGAGGTGGCGGGTGATGGGGGTAACAGCATATGGGTTCCTCCTCCTCCTCATTATCTAGGCCTTGGGACTGTGGACAGGTCCTCTCCAATGTTCCTGAGGGGAAAAGTGGCCGTGGCATTTCTGAAGGGCTGTGGGCTCCAACAGAAGTAGCAGTTTGCAAATTAGCTCCAGCACAGGTCACATTTCTTCTGTGACAGGGCTGCCTGAGCTGTCCACTGTTGTCCCATCCTCTTTAGCAGCTGTCTTAGCCTCAGCACCATTCAAAGTGTGACAGTGGGTTACAGAAGTATCTGTACTTAAATCATCTCTGTGTGTGCATGTGTCTGTAGCTTTAATAACGGAGGGAGCAGAAGTCACCTAGGTTTGTGATGTCATCAGACAACTGCATTTCACATTGTGACTTCACAGCCAGGGGAAAGAGAAACAGCCAGATCAATGTTCACAGCATTTCAGCCAATGGGACTGAACTATACAAATAAATGTCAAGCATAGGATAGGCCAGGTCAGCTCTGATATCCTAGTTCCATACCTGGGCCTCACAGCCATGGGGTTGTTCATTAACAGCCTTGACATGCAAATGAGTTTATACAAGCAATCTGAAATCATCAGAACATAAGAACAGCCATACTGGGTCAGACCAAAGGTCCATCTAGCCCAGTATCCTGTCTTCCGGCAGTGGCCAATGCCAGGTGCCCCAGAGGGAATGAACAGAACAGGTAATCATTAAATGATCCATCTCCTGTTCTGGGATCAGGGCAGGGGGAATAGAGTAAGGCGGAGGGGGGGGGAATTCAAAGCAGGAGCCTTAAGGCAGAGGGGATCATGGCCAATGGGCTATTGGCAGGACCAAGGGTTAGTCAGGGGATCAGGGCAGAAGGATCTCATGGCAGGAAGATAAGGTCACTGAAGGCTACACAGCATGGGGATTTGGACCAGTAGGATTCATGCCAGGGTTGTAAGGCATGGGGTGAGGATGTTCATGGTAAAGGAATAAGGCCACAAAGGTGGGGAGGAAGGTTCATGAGGATCAGGGCAAGAGGAAGAATTTGGATCTGATTTTAATAAAAACATGCACTGTGTCAAAATCTGGTGATGAAAACCTTCAGTTATAAACAAGCACAATCCCAGGAAACTGTGCTTGACTCACTATCTCTCTCCCAAGGATCAGGTGAGCTGAGCTTTGTTCTCAGGATTACAGGATGTCACCAGAAACCCTCAATGTGTGTGGGTAGCTCAATCACCCAGGTCTAAGGTTGCCAACATTTATTTAAAAAACAAGGGACTGTTTTTTAGCACCCCCACCCCACCTCCCAATAATAATTATTATCATTATTATTATTTTAATTATTAATAATAAATAAGCAGTCCTCACCTACATTCGCCAGGCATATTTCTTGCTGCTTTTTGCAGCACCCAGCAACTCCTGATCTTGTTGTACGGAAATGAAATACAGGACAGGCAATTATCTATTTAAATAAGGGACATCCCTTGTAATACGGGATTGTTGAAAACCCTACCTGCATCCTAGGGTTAACGCACTGGGTGTGTCATTGCCCGGTGATAGGATTTCATTGTTTACTGGGACAACTTGTCTAAATGCATTTATGATGATGCTTCCTCTGGGGGGGCAGGGACTGTGTCTCGTGCCAGCCCAGAGGACTAGAGAGGAGACCG